TGTTTTTAAAAAGGAAGAAGGAAGTACAATGGCAGAGATGTGCTGGATTTTTTTTAAAAAACCGTGTGTGTGTTGTTCACTCTGTCTATAACAAGAAGTCACTGATAAGCACAAGGCTGCGTAGTAAAAATACCACACAGGAAATGACAGAGAGTTATTTGTCTCTGGTATGAGAACACATGGCCAAATAATTAAAGCCAAGGAACTTTTCCTTTTTTAATGGATTTTTTTATAACAACCTGTTTTATAAACTACAAATTAAAATAAAAGGCAATAGGCATTTTCTGTATGCGACACTAGTTCTACATGTTTTACACAATGAGCAGTAGCTTAAAATAGCAGAATTCTGGTCAGTACTTTTTTAGACTGAGTAATAATCTTTAATGCTCCCCCATGTAAAAAGCTTCATACATGTGCACACCTCAGGGATATGGATAAACAAAACCTTTCTGCAAAATATGCAACTTGCAGTTCAAGTGCCATGAAGAATTACTCTGCTCTGAGACTGGAGTAAGTGTGCATAGGATTGCACCGCTGTGGATATAGCACTAAAAAAAAATTCAGCTGTAGGGTTGCCAACTTTGTATTAGGAAACTCCTAAAGATTTGGGGGTGGAGCCTGGGGAACGAAGGGTTTGGGGAGGGGAGGTATCTCAGCAGGCTATAATGCAATGGAGTCCTCTTTCCAAAGCAGCAGTTTTCTCCAGGGGAACTAATATCTGACATGACATCTGAAGAAGAGTTGGAATTCTGGGAGATCTTCAGGCCTCACGTGAAGGCTGGCAATCCTTGTAGTTTCAAATGACATTGTCCAGAATTCCACTATCTCTGTCGCCTCATGTTGGGTAATGTGCAGAATGGCTCACTTTCTGCTATAATCTCACTTCTAAAGGATTCTAATAATCCTATAAAGAAAAACCAGCAAGCTCAGTGCTATAGAGGAGAAAGTTTGACTCCAGTGGCACCTTAAAGACCAACAAAGTTTTATTCAAGGTATAGGCTTTCGTGTGCACACACACCTTTTCAGGTACAGTGAAACAGAATTTCCTCAACCATTACATATAGGAAGAGAGGGGGGGTTAGTTGCCAGCAAGGGCTGGTTAGAGTCAAATGCATAAGTAACTGGGCAATTATAGCTGAGATTGGATTAAAGTAAGATCTGTGAATGGTATGGTTGCCAGGTCCCATCTTGTCCCTGGCAGGGAGATTTGGGGGGCAGTCTGGGAGGGGCTGTCCCTGATGCGATGACATCATGCAGAGTGATGCAGAACTGTGCTTTCCCCCAACCATTTAAAAGGGAACCTTCCCTTTAAATGGTTGGGGGGAAAGTGGGCACCCCGCACACCTGCCCTGCAAGCTGCAAATTCGCCGCTTGCAGGGCAGGCATGCACGGGCCCCACTTGAAAAGAGCAGGTGCCCCATGTACCTGCCCTGCAAGCGACAGATCCACAGATTACATGGCAGGAACGGGTGCCCCTCACTTGAAAAGAGCAGGCACCCCAGCGCCTGCCTTGCAAGCTGTGAGTTCGCCACTTCAAGGCAGGAGCGAGCGCCCCACCAAAAAAGAGCTCACCTGCCCTGCAAGCTGCGAATTTGTTGGCTTATGGGGCAGGCGCCCACTCTTTTCAAGTGGGGCCGTGGACTACTGTTGAGGCAGGGCTTCACCCTGCCAGCCAGCTAGCCAGCATCTGAGGGGAGCCCCAAAAATCAGAGGATCCCCCACTCCCACCTGTGGACTGGCATTACTAGTGAATGGCAGTAAATTAGCATACAAATACAAGAGTTAACAAACAGATGTGAGAACAAAATTTGAGTGTAGTGTTCTGCTGCATCAAACCAACACAGCTTACCTCCCTGACACTATAGAGAGGGGAAAGGGAAGGATAATATCCATACGTAGCTTGGCAATTTGGGTATTACTGACCACTGGAGTAAGGAAGTGTGACACAAACAAAAAATCGGAATCTTATTCCCCGTATGTATTCATATATACTATACAATTTTTAGCCAGCCAGTGTTATGTGAGGTGTGGGTGGTAACAAGGAACCTGATTTGAACAAGACTGCAACTTTCCTAATTAAATTGGCAGTCATTGCACTAGTTGGTCAGTCTTTGCCCTGCTCCAGTTCGTTCCAACAAAGTTAAGAGAGGATGGAAAGAGGCTGTCGTAGCATCTTCTTTCCGTATTAGAAGAAGTTGTTCATTTGAACACTGTTCCTTCAGTGGTATTTAGACCAGAGGTGTCAAACTCATTTCTTACGAGGGCCGGATCTGACATAAATTTTACTTTGTCAGGCTGGACCATGCATGCCATAAAATGTAATGCCAGATACCGGAGACATAAACTGCAAAAAGGACAGAAGCTGGTAAGCTCTGAGTTGGTGTATCCTTGCTGCTAGGCCTCATGGGCTGGGGGGGGGGGGGGAAGCGCAAACCCACAAGGACAAATTAAAATAAAAGGCAAAAGCCAGCAGTGCAGCACTGGGCAGACGCCCCCACATCGCTTGACTGCTGCAGACGAGGTTGTTCCGCCATGCTGAAGCCACAATCGGAGTGGCTCTGCCCACTCCCCCCGAGCAGTCTCCTGTTCCCTCCCTTGCACTAGTTGCTCATGGGCTGCATAAGAGCCCTGGGCGGTCCGGTTCCAGCCCCCAGGCCTTATGCTTGACACCCCGGATTTAGACGGCTTAAGTGGGATTTAAGTGGTGCCTAAGCATTGTCTTGTCTTGAGAATTTTGCTCTCAGCTGAATGATAGCAAACAGTGCAATAAGGCCAATGAGTTGCGATAGTGGTATACTGCAATTAAAGGAATAGTGGTAATAAACTTTATCCATTTCCAACAGGGTGTGAAGGAAAGCCAGAGTTTAAAGCTTTATTCAAAACAACTGTATGTATGTATGTATGTATGTATGTATGTATGTATGTATGTATGTATGTATGAAACTAAGCACTGTCCAGCCAGGGGTTTCATTCCTTGGCTGCCACTTCTAACTGGCAATTGAGGGAGGCAGCATTTGTTTTGTCTTTAAAGGTATTTTTTTAAAAAAGAGAGAGAGATGGCCAGAGGATAATAGAGGAGAAGAAAACTGAGCCAAATCTGTAATGCAGAGAATAATGGTATGAAAGAGTCGCTGTGATGTAGAGGTTAGAGTTTCAGACCACAATCTGGGAGATCCAGGATAGAATCCCCACTTTGCTATGGAAGTTCACTGGGTGACCTTGGGCCAGTCATACACTCTCAGTCTAGCCTACCTCACAGGCTTGGTGTGATGATAAAACGGAGGAGAACAATGTAAGCTGCTAAGTAAATAAAAACGATACAAACTGAATGTCAGTGGTCATAAAATATAAATAGCATATCCAAATCTTAAACAGTTCTCCATTGTTCTAATATTTAACAGGTTCTTTGGAGATGTATCATTTCCATTGCCTCGCATTTATTTTGTTGTTTCTATCTTGAATAATAAAAAACTTTAAATTACACTGTGTAATTTAGACATAACTTTTGGTAGAACATTATCTGCATGTAAAAACTTTTTGTGCTGCAACAGAAATATATTAGTCTACATTAAGCCACAATGAAAAAGTACAGAGGTTTTATTGGTTACTTTTCACAGGGAGATAAAACAGTGATAGAAAGTGCTATCAAGTCACAGCGGAGTTATGGTGACCCAGAGAGTTTTCGAGGCAAGAAACATTCGGAGGTGGTTGTTGCCATATGGCCTCCCTCTGCAGGGTGATCATGGCCTCTCCCCTGGTATTTCTCTCATCCAGATACTAGCCAGGACCGTCCCTGCTTAGCTTTGAAGATCTGACAAGATCAGTCTAGCCGGACCATCCAGGTCAGGGCAGGCAGACAAAATACCAGATGCTATTTCTGGAATTGGTTTACAAAATGAATGTTGTGATGTCTCCTTTTAGTTAGAGTAGATATTTCCTTAGTAACTAAATTACTATTCATTTATTGGTACCCACTTTGGTGGCATGCAAGCGATAGATGCTGCACGGGCAATTTTTTTGCCTTTGCCTGTGATCAAACAGATGCTCTCTGTATTATTTGGGAGAGATTTGTAGTGAAGTCCTATGCAGAGTTACTCCTGTCTGAGCCCATTGATTAGACTGGAGCAACTCCGTATAGGATTACACTGTTAAGCACGTGCATAATTATGCCCTGGTTGTTTGTTTGTTTGTCTGTTTTAATGAGACAAGTGCTTAACTTTGGCTGGAGTGCATAATGTGAATAATCTTTCTAAATATTAGGATCTCCCAATCCATTGGAAGTAGGCAGCAGTCTGATCCACAGTCAAAACTGAAAATTTTATACCAGCATCATCACTAATGTTCTGGAGGAAATGAATCATACTAATGCCCCACTTAAATCAGTGGGCCATAAGCATGACTGCCTTCCTCTGTACTGGAGACTCTATGTTTTTATTCCCTGTTTCCTTGCTATGCCCTGTAAGTAACATTCGTACCTACTCATCTCCCACTTAGTCCTGCATCACTGAGAGGAATCCAGCCAGCATCCCGCTAATGCCAGGCTGGCAGCTAGTAGGCACTACAAGAGCACCTTAAGGGCTCTCTGCACTTAATGCTGCACAGCCCTGGCATATCTATGTCCAGCATTGCTGAGATTGGATAGAGACAGTAGTATTACGAGAGCTGAAGCTGTTATGAAATAATAATTGCCATGGATACCTTCGTTTCTTTCCCCCCATTAATATTTCTACTGATACTAAGCTTTGGACATTTTTGTAATGCTACAAAAACCTGTTTGACCAGAGAAGATACTGGGGACAGGAAAGAAAAACATAGTGAACAAGAGCCCTATCATTCCCTCTTGAATCAAAAAGTGATGCATACCTCCAGCTAGTGACATCAAAAGATACTCTTCTGCAAAGCAGAATATACTTAAAGTAATAAACTTAGTTATTTATGTGTTGTAAAAAGCTGAACTCTCTACAAGGGTCTAATTAATTAATTTGTTCTGTTTCTTCAAGCTACAAGAAACAGTGAAGAGGAAGTTGGAAGGCGCACGCTCACCCCTCAATGGCGAGCAGCAGAATGGTGTGTGCGACGGTAGCAAGCGGATACGAAAGGATGTACCTGGGATTGATGGAATCAACAGCTTGCCCAACAACTTGCCTTTGCCTTCTATTTCCCCTCTGCACCAGCTTGACATGAAGCCCTCTTTACCGCTGCAAAATAGTGGAACTCATGCTGTGGGTCTGGATGACTTGGGTAAAAATGTTGGACTGCCGGAGATAGAACTCCCAATCAACGGATGCACTGAGCTTGAGGATAGTTTTAGCATCCTGCACAACAACAAGGAACTAAAACAAGAGCCACTGGATGATCCTAGCTGCATTGACACTTCTGACACATCGCTCTCAAATCAGAATAAACTCTTCTCGGACATTAATCTGAATGATCAAGAGTGGCAGGAGTTAATAGACGAGCTGGCTAACACCGTTCCAGAGGATGACATACAAGATTTGTTCAATGAAGACTTCGAAGAAAAGAAGGAACTTGAATTTCCCAGGCCAGCCACTGAGATACAAGAGAGTGCAAGTGTTAAAAGTGATCCATCTCACTCTCCGTTTGCCCATGTACCAATAGGGTCTCCCCAAGTAAGGCCTTCTTCTTCAGGTCCTCCATTTTCAAATGTCCCTACAGCTTCCAGCATCTCGTCTGTCTCTAGTGCACCCTCTGCTCCAGCCCTTGACAGCTCACCAGCAAACTGTGTTGTTCAGTCACCTCAGACGCCCAACCAAGCACATACCCCAAGCCAGACTCAGTCACGACCTGGCAATGGTTATCTCATGAATCCAGCAACGGTGACAACAGCGGGGCCGGGGTCAGGGCCAGTGGCTGTGTCCAGCACTGACTTGTCTCCAGCTGAGCAGCTTAAACAGATGGCAGCACAGCAGCAGCAGCGAGCAAAGCTCATGCAGCAAAAGCAGCAGCAACAACAACAGCAGCAGCAGCAGCAGCAGCAACATCCAAATCAAACATCTAGCTGGTCCCCTGTGGGACCTCCATCTAGTCCCTATGGAGGACCCTTCAGTACAGATAAACCAAATAGCCCAATGATGTATCCCCAAGCCTTTAACAACCAAAACCCTGTTGTGCCTCCTACGGCAAACAACCCACAGAAGACTACAATAAATAACTACCTCCCTTCAAACCACATGAACATGATCAGTCAGCAGCCAAATAACCTAGGTACAAACTCCTTGACCAAACAAACCAATATGCTTTCTTATGGCAACACTAAACCTCTGACTCATTTTAATGCTGATCTGAGTCAAAGAATGACTCCACCAATGGCCAATCCAAGCAAGAATCCCATGATGCCATACATGCAGCCCCAACAGCCTCAGCAGCTCCAGCAACCACAAATGCAGGCTCAGATGGCGCATTTGAGTGAAGAGCAGAAGCGCATGCTTATCATGAAGCAGAAAGGAATAATGAACCAACCAATGGGCTATGGAACTCTTCCCTCCCTGGGTCAGGTAAGGATGAACAGAAAGCATTATCTGAATGGCTTGTTGTCATAGCTGTTTCTTGTTTGCAGAAAAAAATCCAGGAGGAACTAAACCAATGCTTAAGTTACTCAGATCTTGCTCAAAATAACCCTTGCCTCCTCTGCACCACTGCTGACTGGGTCCATGTCAAGGGTCTTGGCTCAGACCCATCTGCTGATGGTGCAGGTCTAGAGAACAGTGTTTCCCAGTCTGTCGGCCAGGATCCAAAAGTGGTTTGCAGGCCAGTCCTCCCTAAGGGACACCCCTGCCCTTTCCATTGCTCTCTTCTTTATTTTGGAAACCAAGATCTGACTCCAGAAACAAGTTCTCTTCTATGCCATACATTAGTTGGTATTTTTTCTTCACTGGATAAAGAAGTACTGATCAAGTAAAACATGTCCTTATGGTTATAGAGCAAGTTTCTTAGAATCTCAGGGGGCATTAGAGGGAGTAATGGAGAAGGAAAGGGTGGTCAAAAGCTGGAATGTAACATCCATATGCAACGTCTGTGTGCTTTGGAATACCAGTTGTTTGGCACCCATATTTGGGGCAGCTGTGCCCTTTCTGCAAAGTTTGTTTCTCAGAATCATCTGGTTGGCCACTGCACAAAATGGAATGCTGAATTTGATGGGTGCCAAATTCATAGTTTGCCTAGGGCACACAAAAACACACACACTTGGGCCCACCCTAGATGAGTCATCATACCAAATAAATTTGGGCATGTGGGTCTCTGTACTGAAAAAGGTTGGGAACCACTGGTATATAAGGCAATGACCATTATTCCTTTACCACTGATGGCTGTGAGTGAGCTGAGCCATTCTGATGTGGTCAGCATCCCTGTGCTGTCCAAGCAGAACCAGCCCTGAAGCTACTGCCACTTCTTCTTCCCACATTTCTCCTTTTTGAAAAAGGACGTTTCTTCACATTAGCACATTATTTTCAAAGTGACATCACCCTCCTGAGCTGATATAATCTGCTAGTGCACTATTCTCTAGGTTTGGGCATGCATGGAATCATAGGTACTGGTAGTTTGGCATTTTCTTCTCCAAACAGCTTGTTCTTCACAAGTTGCAGAATTTATTCATCATACATTCTTTCAATGTTGATTGATTGTAAATAGTTTCCAGCATCCTATGTTGACAATCATACCAAAATAACAGGATTACTCGTCTCTCCAACATGGTGAAAATGAGGAAGAGTGAAAGCAGCATGAGACTGAATGTATGTGACCAGTGTTCCCTCTAAACTGAGTTAGTGTGAGCCAGCTCACAGTTTTTTAGCCTCTGGCTCACACATTTTTGTCTTAGCTCAGGAAGGATGGCTCCAGAGCAAACTAATTTATGCAGCAGCCAAATCGCTTGCCCACAACTTTAATGCCAGTAGCTCACAAAACAGAATTTTTGCTCACAAGATTCCACAGCTTAGAGGGAGCATTGCATGTGACCCAGGAGTCACAAAACAAAAATTAGCCAAAAGGTTGGAGAAATAATGTTTTTAAATTACTGAATATTTTATGGTGAGTGCTGGAAGTTTTTGTTACCCTTTGCCAGACAGAAATAAATGCCAAAAATAATCTATTTCTGACACAACAATAGCACAAAAAGATTTAGTACATCTTCTGATCAAGTAACTGCATTCTCTGTTCTGAATGTGTGATTTGACACAGGCTGCAAAACTGCACATTATTTGTTGTTTCTAAGGGATCCATGGCTATGAACAAAATCACTTCTTTAAAAAATGTTTCAGGTCGTATAGAATATAGGTCCTTAATTTAAAAAGAGCTGTTTGTAGTGACTTGCAGTTGCCATTTGCAAGTTCTTATTTACATAAAATACTCAGCAGCAGCTCTTGTTGCACAGTGGAGCAGATTGCCCATTAAGATATGCTTGTGTAAATTGAATTGCCATGTTTTTAGATTAAGTCTTTAGACATCACTTACCCCCTTGATTTGACTCTTGACATAGGTGTGCTTTAAATGCATTCTTGCTTATGGAACTGAGGTTGGTGTGGATCTTCCAGCAGGAGCAGGTGTGCCCCAAATTCAGAAACCTGAACTGCCTACAATAAGTGGTAACCTGTCAATGGGTTTGTTTGTGGTTGTAATGGAAGTAAGCTGTCTTTGACTTCATGGTTTTTTGAGGGTATGAGTGATTCTGAAAGAGTGGGAAGCAGCTATGGATAGGCTAACAGAATGACCTACTGTTAATTCGAGCACAAACACCTTTATCAAACCGGTTCCAGAGCAATAACTACTATTCTTGAGCATGTTGTGAGTTAAATTTTGTAAGCCATAGCTAATGCAATGCATTCCCCAGTTGTTGTGTACTTTGCCAGTAAACTTTGCTATTTGTTGTAATAATGAAAGGCGGAATATAAATATTTTTTAAAAATAAATGTGTTGAAGTTACAAGGAAAGAATTGTATTCTGCTCATGACAAGGAAATAGAATCCAGTGGTTGCTGTCTGTAGAAAGGTGAATTATGAGGCTATTGCAGCTAAGCAGCACTTTGATGTAGGGGAGGAGGGGGCATATATAACAATAGCTGAAGGATGCAGTGTGAGGGGAGAATGCTAAACCAGACCATATCCTGCAGTTATAGAGTAAGGTCCTGTGGGTCCTTTTTGAATCTTAGGTAATGGGTACCACCACAAAATGGCTGCCATGGAGACTGGAACAAATCAGAGAATTTGGGGGGTTTCCATGCTAAATGTCTTCCTGTGATGCAAGCAGCTCTTTCTGAGTCAGTGCTCTCTGCAGACTGAAAGATGATATATCTTCTGAAACACTGCTGATGCCATTACATCACATTGCTTGTCATGCTCTAGCATTTGGCGAAAACTCTATGATTTAACCAAGTGCAAGAGTGTCACTGATGACACTAATCAGGCTGCACGCACACTAAAGAATCCACTTTCAGTTCACTTTCCAACTGGATTTTGCCAGTTCACACAGTAAAATCCAGTTGGAAAATGCACTGGAAGTGTATTGAAAGTGGATTATTTAGTGTATGTGACCGCAGCTACAGTGTTTTCATTGTGGATCTTCCTGCCTCACCCCAGTTGTTGCCTGAACATGTACAAGCCTTCATCCAAATGCCACACAATGGGTTGGGATGTGGCCTCTCAGGCAAATTCCAGGTCCACTTCCTAAATTTTCAGCTCTTATCTAAAAAGAAAATACGATAAAATGAAAAGCATGCATGCCAATATTCTACCCAATTCTTAGTGAAGTAAATTTGCTTCTGCTTTCCATGTTCTGCTCAAGGGAAAGAAGGGTACTGGGATAAATGACCAGACCACATTAGATACTAGTTTTAAGATTTATAAAATAAAAATTCATATAGCATGTAATTCCTTTAAACACATTGGGCTAGCTAGGCCACAGTCCTGTCTCAAAGGAGGAGGAGGAGGAGGAGGAGATTGGATTTATACCCCACTTGGAATCTCAGAGTGGCTTACAATCTCCTTTCCTTTCCCCTCCCTCCAACAGACACTCTGTGAGGTAGGTGGGGCTGAGAGAGCTCTTTCGAGGACTGCCCTTGAGAGAACAGCTCTGAAAGAACTTGTAAACTGACCCAAGGTCACACCAGCAACTGCATTTGGAGAAGTGGGGAATGAAACCCAGTTCTCCCAGATTAGAGCCCATGCTTCTATCCACTACACCAAACTGGCTCTTAGCTCGGGTAAAACACTGCTCCAAGTGGGGCAGTACACCCATAGGCCCCAACCCAGCACTACACCTCTGTTTCTGGGTCTTTTGCATCATACATACCTCACACACTCCTGGTTAGGGTTGCCAGTCCCAGGGCGCGATCAAACGGACACATCTGGCAAGCAACGCGCACCTGTCGCCATCCCGTCTCGTCCGGCCGAAGATCCAGAGTTAAAAAGTACCAGCAAAAGTCCACTATCAAGCATTTGCGACAGGCTGCAGATGGACTTTCTCTGTCTGATCACTCCAGCGCGCTCCTCTTGCCTCATTGAAGCACGTTGGGCGCATGCGCCGCCGAAAAAATCCCCAGTTCACTGCCGTCACGTCTGATCACGTACTGGTGGGTCAACTTGCGACGGCACAAATAGCCACGCCTCTCCCCCCCCCACGTTATCTGGCCCATGTGATCAGGGCCCCAGTGTGGCAACCAGTGGTGGACTACGAGGGTGTGGTCATGGGAGGCAGCCATCAGTGATGTTGTGATGTTCATTTCTGGGGAAACCCAGAAGTGACATCCTGCCTCTCCACGAATTGCCAACAACTGAATGGTTTTGGTGATTCCTAGAAAGGACTGGCATCACTTCCAGATTTTCCTGAAAGTGAGCTCTGTCATCTCCAGGAATTGTTGGAAAGTCTATGAATTTACCATAGAGTTGCTGATAATTCCTAGAGAGGTGTGATGTCACTTCCAGGTTTTCAAAGAAGTGACACGACTCTGTTAAGGGGAGCTGGGAGCAAGGGTTGCCCTGTCCCAGCTAGGGGGCTGGAAACTCTAACTCCTGTGTACTCTTAGCCCCCTTTACCACAAAATTTCTGGCCATGGGCCTGTCAGCAGGGGCAGCTTGATAGTGCAGTCCACCCCTTGAAAGCCACAAGTATGAAAAATTACATGAAGTTGTTTCTTTTATGTTATTTGTGAAATGCTGACTTAAATATTGCATGCATTAGGTGGTTCTGTGATCTCACTCTTTCATTCCCCCTTTAAGTATATTCAAAAGAGGCAGTCTTCATGTTCCTGATGAGTTAAAGATGTCATAAAAACAAAAACAAACCTTGATTTCATGATAACATAAAACCTTGGTGCTGAGTCCAGAAAGGAACGATCCCTGTACTTCATAAATACCTATATCTCTTTCAGTTCACCTTCAGATGACCTGAACAGAAACAGGAGCCTAATGTTTCGATACAGAAAGGTCTTTCCAGTCCCAGTAGGCCAATTTAGGAAGCATAGAGAGAAAAGACTGACTTAGGTGTGAAAGGTAAAACAGTAGCCTTC